TCATATTTTTGTGGTTAAAAAAAATACATATGGTTCAGAAATGGATTAACCTTATTTACATTGAACCTTATGGGAAATTTGATTCGGTTCGCAACCAGTTCGGCTTGCGACCAGAATCATGGAACGAATTAAGTCTGTGAACCGAGGTACCACTGTATTTATATTTTGAATTTGCCCTTACATTGTGTGGGCTTTTGCAAATAGATCCTTTGAAGTGGCAGTGTTAGGATTTGTCTTGGACTAAAAAAGCAGGTCTACAAATACCTTACTGAGGGCACATCTTCCTTCCTCTTCCACAGGCTAGAACATACAAGGAAAATGCTGCCCCTGTGGGAAACTCTTACCGTCTCTCCCCATTTCGTATTCAAACGAGGGATCCCTCACTCTCTCCTCAGATGAGGTGAGAGAAAATTCCTCCTCCAGGAACTCCTGAGAAATGCTACAGGAGGAGACGTAAAGGAGGGAGAAACAACAACTTGTGAATAGAAAAAAATGAAATCCATCAGAGCAAAGCAATCGCTTCAGCCAGCGGCTTCCTTTCCTTCTATGCATGCATCTGGATGTCACTGTCATTGCTTTATTCTCTATTCATCTCTGTGTAGCTGCACTTCCACACAGCCCCCAGCCTTGTCCTAGCATCTTTGTAGCATCTGCAGGGTGCCACCAATGCCGAGCTCCAGATTCCACATTTGCCAGTCCGTGCCCTTTCCAGTTACTAATAGGAGAACAGCCACAACAACAAAAACCCAACGGCAAGCCAATGCCTCTCCCTGTCCTCTGTCCTTCTCTCACCAATTTCTTTTTGCATTGAGGAGGAAAGTGTTCTAAAAGCTACCAGCTTGTCCGGTTTCAAATAAGGACTGGACTGATTCATGGAAGTCATGGGGATCCATGGCTGTTAGCCTTGACGGCAGTGGGACTGCCTCTGACGGCCTTCTGCTGGGAGACCAGTGGGCTTCCTTGTGCAGTTGGCTGGCCACCATGAGAGCAGACTGCTGGACTAGGTGGGCCAGGGGTCCGATCCAGCAGGGCACTGCTTATGCTCTTATGTTAATTCTGACCAGCTGTTGACCCTTTGGTGCCACAGTGAAGCGGGCGGGAAGGGGGTAGAATGGCAAGGCATCATGCAGCCTTGCCCCTGGTGGGTCTGAAGCAATTCCAGAAGCCAGGAGGCAGGACAAGGCAGGAAAACAATCTGTCCCCTAGGACCAGAAGAAATTCTGCACAACTGTGTTTCCTCAGGATGAGGGGGATGAGGGGGATGAGCTGAGGGGATAGTAAAAATCACTTTGACTACCAGAGCTCTATGGAAGCCTCAAACATTATGGAGAGTGTGTGAATGTGGGTATATATGTGTGACACCATTTTAAGAATTAAAGGCGTAGTCAGATATCAGTGCAACATTCAGGTGTGGAAATGAGCAAGCTACCATTTTGTTTCCCTTAGATGTGAACACAGCTAGGCCACATACTAAGTACATTCCACAAAGATTATTTCTGACCAGCCCTTTAACGCTTTGAATCTGCCTTAGTGCTCTGGCCTGTGCTAATGAAGGCTGTGGAAGAGAACAGTCAATCTAGTTCACTGGATAAAGGATTCAATCTGGCCTCTTGAGGCACATTTTAAAGTTCAAAAGATCATCATAGCTCTTCCAGCCATGACCCAGGGGACTTCCTAGTCACATCCCCATATTATTTATATGATTGAATGTATGTATATGTGTATGTGTGTGTATGTATGTATGTATGTGCATGTGTGTGTGTGTATTAGCCAACTGAAATGAAAGCTTTAGAAATACAACAGTCTTGCAAAGAACTGTTAATATTTAGATGGTTTGCAAGAAATAGCAATTCCATTTGCTTGATTACTGTCAGCATTCCCCAATTTCCTCTGCACAAAAAATGGGCATCCTACATTTTAAGAATTGCATATAGCTCCCAAAGAGCATTTGTGTGTGTGTACCTCGCTCAAGCCCCTTCCAATTACATTGCAGTGAAATGAAGTGTCAAGAAACATAGCATCACTGTATGTAGTTTTAGGACCTTTTTAACATGTTAAACCCTTCCAAGATTAAGGAAAAAACAAGAACAAAACTGGAAAATCACAGCCCTGCCACAGTGCGTTCATTGACCACCATTACAAGGTTACCCACCTCTGCCTTAACCTGTCATAAACAATAGTTAAACATAGCTGAGATTAGAATAGGTTCATTTATGCCTAGTGGAGCTAAATACCTACAACGATTGGAGGCTGGGTTTTGTTATACAGAATCCAATGGACCATGAAGACTTAGAGGAGTGAGTTTTTACCTCTCAGCACTGTGCAAGACATACAAGGGAAACATTTGATCCTGGCACAGAAAGAACCTAGAAATGTTCTTTGTCAGACCTGCCTACTCAACCTAGCACAAAATATGGGACAACCTGATATAGTTACCTCTGAGAAAGGGTGCAGTCTTGCATGGCTCTTCTCTGTAGAGAAAGTTTACAAGGCGGGATTGGGCTGCATGATCGGAAACTGTCCATTTGATCTTGACTTGACCAAGACTACCAAATAAAAGGACAGTCAGGCCATCAGTATACTCCAATGGGATGAACTCAGATTTCCCCATTCAGAGCTATTCCCAAGTTTTCCATGCCCTAAAAGAGTAAAGCTTTGCACAGCAGACCTTTGCGCGACCTCAGGAGCAGGGACATCCCATATCCCACCATCCCCCTCTCCCCATGACCTTGAAATGAAAGAAGATAGATCGTGAATGTGAGATGGGTGGAGCATTGAAATGCACACCTCTGATGTGCTCATGAAGCTATCCTGGCTGTCTTCCCGGGGACAGATGGCATGCATTCGTACTAGGCGCTGCTTTCTCTTTGGACAATGTTCCCTGAGTTCAGTGATGGCTGGCCCACTCTTTGATACCTGCTAAGGAAATAGAAAGTGTCCCTTTAGAAGAATAACTTGGTTTACAAGACAGAGTCTGTGAGGCTTACATGTCAAGTCACCAATCAATCATGCTGTGATTGTCAACAAATGGGCCCATAGATATTGGCTTCCACTGCCCAGCATAGCTTTGATCAACTGAGTCTTTCACCTCATGCTTTTTTGTAAGATAAACATGTAGATTAAGTCACCAGCCTTAGCTGTACCCCGTGCCACATGAAGTGTTTCCTGCTAACAGTAAGGATAGTATCAGTTTTAACACACCTTGGGCAGTATACCACAAGTGCAAGCAAAGCTCAGTTTTGTTCCAAGCATGCTCATGCTATTCTGTCCTAGCTAGAACCTGTAATCTAGCCAGAATGTTGCAAGCCAGTGTATCTTGCAAACCAACTAGGAGGTACATACAGGGTACTAACATCCCATATGATAAGAGTGAGGTTCAGTGTGTCATACAAAGATAGAAGGAGAACAGTGTGATGGTCTGTGGGAATGACCTTGGGAGACAGGAGGAAGAGCCGCAGACTAGACAACCAGCATGCAAAGGTATCTCAGCCCACAGAAGCAGAAGGGACGCTCACTAGTTTTCTGGAAAGTAAAAGGAAAGGAGGGGAGAGATATTTTCAGACTTGCAAGATTCTGTTACTGTAACCTCACAATAAAGATAAAAATGGTTTGTGCTTCTTGTCTGGACTACCTCGAAGGGCTGACAAACAGCTGCTTAAAAAGGAATGAGATGGGGAAATTGAGAACCCTAAAGAAAATTCCACTTATTCTATAATAACTGCATTTTGGATTTTATGAAACTGGCTTTCAAATATTAGGATGGTGCTAGAGGCACTTTGGGAAGTACCGATTTAGCCCTTGCTCTCCTCTGGCATGCATGTTCATTAAGCCCAACTATGATCATAACTCACAGTAAGCACGGAATCACTCATGCTTGTTTTTTTCCTGAGTTCGCAAATTTCATTTGTGAGCTCAAAGACTTTACGGCGAAGCGAATCTTTCTCCAGGAGGCTTTGGGAAATTTCAATCTGAGCAGTGTCTCTGGCATTGTAGGCCTAAAGGAATTAGATAGAGGGACATTACATATGAAGGCTTTGGGAGAAAAAAAAAGACAGAAATCAACTAAGGCAACAACAAGTACATTTCTCACAGTAGTTAAAACAGCTTGAGTAATTAACTTAGGAATAGTAGGAATCAACCCAAAGAAGGGGGCATGTTGATAAAATACTATAGTAACTTTAATAATATTGGTTGCAACATTGGATGCATTGAACAGCTAGGAAGCTGCATGAAGCCTGGATTGCAAAGTATAAAATTTAAACAAAAATCTCTTTAGTGGTTCAAACTCTGCTAATGCGGCAGTATGCATGGTTTTATATCACATTATCATGGGAATGTTTCAGCAAACAAAATTGATAAGGTTATTGATGTAGCTCTTAGTTTATTTACATAGCTGATATTTTTGCATGACTGGATCTTACTTGCCCATATAACCTCATAATTCACAAAGGTACTGAGTTCTACCAGTGGACTTTACATGACACAAAGTATTTAAGAGAGGATGTTGGTCATCACTGCAATGTTCAGCAGTGTTAAGGTCCTTGCCAACCAGCCAGTCTCATCTTTTGACAAACTTTTGCCACTTTGATTGGGAAGCTCTCATTCCATGCTAATCACATTTTCTAATACCTGATCTCTTTCTTTCTGTAGATCATCTATCTGGGCCTGAAGGGCACTGATTTACTCCTTGTAGATCTCACAATCTACCTTCATCTTTTGACATTCAATTAAAGTATTTTCCTTTTCTTCCCAACACTGCATAAAAACACAAATATAGCAAGATTAAAGTATATAGTCATGGCATTGTATTTTTTCTATTTAGCTCTTATTACATGTAATATTGGCAAGCCTTACAACAGCAGTAGCATAATGTGGCCCAAATTACCTTTAACCTCCTATTACAAACTGACGTCTGAGAACAAAGATGGAAACAATTTGCCTACAGTCACCTAGCAAGCCCAAGGTGACAATGACATTTAAGACTTTGGGACTGGTAGCTCAAGTTTGTTATTGGGCTGATAATGCTTTCTGTGTGTAAAACCAACATTACAAAATATCTACTCTTTAGCTGTTTTAGATCAGATCAAATTAACTAACTCACAGTACCCTTTCTATTGTTCTTAAAGCACTGAAGAAGGATTGGTCTTACTGCAATCAACTTACTGCAAGTACGGTACTTTTAATTTTCACATGGCTGCTGCCACACACATAAGAGGTGAGAAGGATTGGGGCTGCCTCCTGGTCCTCAGTTGTGTAGGGTAGACACAAAGGAGAGTGGGAATCCCTGAACGTGTGGAAGCTGAGCTTTCCTAGGCACAGAAAGAGACTTTCTCCCTCCCTCTTGTATAGAAGCAGGCGACTTCAGATAGCTTAGCATGCTCACCTGTTTGCGCTGATTCTCAGCAAGTGCTGCTTGCTCCCTCAGCGAGTGAATCCGATTCAGCAGTTCCTGTTTGCCCTCCAGAGCATCATCAAGGTTTTGCTCTAGAATGTCTTTCTGCACCTGGGCAGGTAAGGCAGGCTCATTAGAGGAGTGTCTTCATCCCAACCCCTGTCCCATGCCACATATGGAGAGGTTACCCATATGGAGGAGGCCCTCAAGCTAGGGCAATTGCCACCTAACTGCAGCCTGAAAAGATTATTGTGCAGCTATAGAAGACTTACACAAAGGCATGCTAAATGTTGATTAAATGGGTTAAAAAAATTTCCTGACCCCAAATTGTGCAAAAGTTTTTGGCTTACTTACCTACTGCAAACTTGTGTTGTTTTTTCACAAGTTACCTCCTCTGGCTTGTCCCAAAGAAGCCTAAAAATTGTAATCTGGTGAAATTGCTAATAATTTTGTGTTACAGATCTCTCATCTGCTCTATTGAACTGCAGTTCCTAGGATTATTAGGAAAGAACATGAACATAGTTGGTAATTTCTTTACCAGACTGAAGGTTTCCAGCTCCACCAGTGACTTGAGATGTTCATTCTCTTCTCTCAGCTTTAAGAGCTCATCTGTCTGCATCTGTGTGTCCCCAGAAATCCTTGAGGATCTTTCCCTTTCACGGCATGATGAAACCTGGGCTCGTTGTAATTCTTGCTTCATCAGGTAGAGCTACCATTTGCAGATACACAGAAAGGAAGAAGAAGCTGTGAGCAAGACTGAAGTGGAGCTGAAAAAGTTATCAGTTTGTGCTGTTCCTTCTACAATATCAGTCCTGAGCTTCTTGCTTTAAGAATGTCGCTGAAATGTCCCTCTAAGCACAGCACATTCAGCTGATGGGAATGGACCAAAATCAAGGCTTCTGAGAAATAAGATGGATATAAATCCCAAGGGTTGCAAAAGTGCAGAACAATTTTTTAGGAAAAAATAATTAGAGAAAACTCCCAACCCAAATAGCCCAAAGAAAATCAAACACCATTTGGCAGAAATTGGAAAAAATGGAAAAAGAAAATGGAAAACAAAACTCAAGCTTGGATGGGGAATGTTCAATAAGTGGAGGAGGGCATGGCTGGCAGAAACCCTGAATAGGAAGTGAGGATGGACCACATCCTCATTTTGTTGCAGATCCCACCACTAAACACTAAGTGGAAGCTGTCTTCTTCTACACCTGAAGCATACTGATATCCAGTAAATACAGTTAAATGCAATAAAGATCTGACTGATCACAGCACCGGAGGAAAAAAGGGGGGGAAAAGGCAAATACTAAAGAAATCATAATAGCCAATTATTCTTCTATTCCCTAGTACCAATCTCACAAGCAAGGCAGACCCAGCTTGGTCAATAATACCCAAAAGCTCAGTTGTAATGTACAACACCCCCCCCCCTCAGGATTTTCATTAGTCAGATTGATTTTTTAATAATCTGTATTATCTTTCAGAGATGGGTACTGAGGGATCTCTCCCTTAAATCAGGAAAATTTAGTATCCTGAAAAATCTTCCCAAATTGGTATATCCCTAACAGCCCATCAGTTCTATCACTGTTTACTAGACATGAATTCCAGTCATTCAGAGGCTAGATTATCTCTCTTTGGTTTTCCATTTGTTTGTTGGGCGGCATCTTTCGTCTTCATCAGCTGCAGTTTCCATGGGAACAGGATACTGAGCTAGATGATCCATGTGAGCTAACATTTCTTATATTCCATTGCACTTCCGAACAAAAGTGGGCAGGTACAGGTGAGTGCAGGTTACAAGCACAACTATTCTGGTGCTCTGTCAAGCATTTTGCCTACAGTCATCCTCCTGTTGACCAGCAAAATGCCATGGTAAGTTCAGCAGTTCAACCCTAACCATCTCACCCTTCCTACCAGGGCCTGCTAATATGAAATCACAGACCCTGAAAAGCTCCATAAACCCCTCCCCTATCGCACCTCTTCCTGCATGCTCCGGCAGCGGGTAACAGCCAGGTCCTTCTCTTGAAGGGCACTGCTGTAGCGCAAAGAGAGCCCATAAAGTTCATCTTTAAGCTTGAGGGCCTCATGGAAGTGAGCACTGAGCTCCCTCTTCATACGGTTACACTCAGTCTCAATGCCCCGCAGGCTTTCAGCCTCGGCTTCCAGTCGGGCAGTGTTTTCCTTGAGTATGCGGCAGTGTTGGAGCAGGGACACCTTCTGACGCTTCTCCTGGTTTAACTCCTCTTGCAGGCTGCTAACTGCTTTGGCCAAGCATTCTGTTAGCTGGGAGCTTTCAATCAGATCTAGAGAAAAGAAGATAACCCTTAGACCTTCCTCCGTGCCCAGGCCTGAACACCATAAAGCTTCTACTTCAATCAGCAGAATTATGGCACTAAATAAAGCTCAGCTTTGTATTATATTTTTTTTACTGCAATCTGAGAATATGTTGTGCATGTACAGAAAGAGAATTGATAGGTAAGGAAGAGATGCCATTCTGAATTATTTCCCCTGGAGACCAAATATTGAGAATCAAACCAGGTCCAGCTTGGCCAATCAGCTCTCAGTCTGCCACAATATTATTACTGGAGCTTACAGTTTCATCTGTTTTGCCTAGAAAAACAACTCAAGAATGGGTGAGGTAGAAAGGATGGAAAAAGCTCACCACTAAAATTGTTGTGGTCTATGGAAGGCTCCAAGCCAGTAATGAGTACATAAATATCAGGGTTGTGAAGTTTCAGGCTTTCCAGAAAGGCAAGGGCTCCATTTTTCCCACGAGATTTCAAGAGATCCAGCATGTGGCCTATAAGAGATCAGGAAGAGCAGTAGTGTAAAATGATGGGAACTAAAAAGCCCAACTGGGGAAGAGCCTAAAGTTATCCAGGTAGAGAAACTTGGTAGACATATGCCATACACAATAGTTCAGCCTTCCTCCAGGAATAACACTACCAATTTATTAATAGTGTTTGAGCAAAATTGCTTGCAAATCTCCTTTGGTTCCACTAACAGGCACATGTTATTCTGGCTTTTAAATGCAGTATTACCAAATATAATACTTTAATAATAACTTTAATATAATAAACTTATAGGCTATAAGTAGAGGACAAGCTTGCCACTCAGACTGGAACACTTCCCCATTTACCTGTGATGGAGGAACTTTATAAATCTTGTATGTACTGTAGGCTAGTTTATAGAACAGACCAGATTTGATAGGGTTCTGCTACCTCTCCTATTTCTTCCAAAGGAAAGCAATTTCTTTCTCTCTCTTTCTCTCTCTCTCTCTCTTTTCCCTCCCTACTTCCTTCCCTCCCCCCCCCCACTCCCCCTTCTCACAGATAGCATCGATGCTACAGTTAGACAGAGTGAGGTGACCCTTTCTGTTAGCAAATGTTTGGTACTGGAAAGAACAGCAAAAAATTAATTTATCATATTTTTACTATGAGGAATAGGAAGGACAAATGTGTGGAATTTACTGTCCCATGTCCCAGAATAACTTGGTGGCTATTATGCACCAGCCATGGCTTCTTGGTGCCCTTGACAGTGTTGTGCTGGAGTCAAGATAGTAGTCCCACTGGACATCACAAGCCATTATAGCTGTTTCTCTATCCTCTGATGCCTTCCTCAGCTCTCCACCACATTACCGTGTAACGCTCTGTCATTAACATTACAATACCAGCCTGCTTACCAACTCTCATGGCTCTGTTTGTGAACTGGGGGCTGTGCAGTATTTCTTCTTCATCCAGTTGACCAAGCACCTTGGCCTGCCGTAAGTAGGGGGTCAGACGACTGGGACAGACGCCCCGCACAATTCTGTAGCGATGGCCCTCCACCATCTCCCATAATCGATCTTCATCCATATCACGGAGTTCTTGATCAACAAGGTTGGGATCATCTACTCCTGTCTCCACCATAATGGAAACCTAAAAGGACAACAGATGTTGATCGTTTTGGAAGCTCGTAATGAAGGAATAAGCGTACTTCATAAAATCCATTTCCTATTCTAAACTGACATGAAGCATGGCAGAAATTAAATCCTAGAAGTGGCAAAGCACATTAGCTTTTAAAATGATTTAGAATTTTGCTGTTTTATCCAAATGACATTATTTTAGCTCCTGTTTTTATTTCAGGTCTGACTATATTTCCTGATTTTTGCTACATTAGGCTGCATTGGTTTTTATTGTATTACTATTGTTTTGGTTTTAAATTTTATTCTTCTATTTTTAAATAATCATTCAATACCTAGAGAACCTTTTTAACAGGTAATTTAATTGATTGGTCATTTTAAGTTAAAAATGAGATTTTGAGATCTAGATTAGACTCTCTGTACATCAGACTTGTTACTCATTAGTCCAAATAAAATAGCCTATCATCAGAGCTCTGTCTATTCTTTGTTTGTACAGATGCATGTGTATGTGTGTATAAATAGATAAATAGCAAAGTGAAACTTGATGCAAAATTCTATATTCCAAATTTTTTTTTTTTTTGCCTCTAGCATCAAGAGCACAGTTAGCATAAATTAGCAGAATGTGCTCATTTTATGAGGCAGAGTAAGATATGAACACACATAATCATGGTTCCTAATAAATTTACAATATAGACAGCAGGTTGGGAATATTATCTTATATCTATTTTCATCTATGCTTTAACCAGCATGATTTGGTTTCCTATCTGCAAAGGGTTGGCCAAACAGAAGAAGTTACAGCTGGGTCTGGATTCATATCTGTCTGGACATCCATTTTATGCACAGAAGAAAACTATATCATTGGCCAACAAGGTTGAGGAGAATCTGAGGTGCCTGACAGGAGCACATCCTATCCAGGACTGCATAAAAATTTAAACTTGACATCTTTCATTGAATTATATCAAATAAAATAATGAATAAATAATATCACACCTCCAATGTCACTGTACAAGACAGCAGGTTTTCTGCCCCATTAAATTACACATTCATTAATATTTGCAGTGTTATAAATTACATAATGCTCCATGGAAACAAATCCCTGAATATGTGCCTACCTTATACTGAGATGGACCATTGGTTCAACTAGCTCAATGTTATCTAGTCTGATTAGGAAAAATTTCCCACATGTATAAAAGGAAGCCATTATCAGCCCTGCTGCCTTAGCCGGTTTCATTAGCGATGGCAAAGACTGAAGTATCCTCTTCTGCAAAGCCATAGAGCCACCTCCTTTCCCAATAGGCTTACACCTTTATCTCCACATGACTGGACTACTACAAAGGGGCTGTGTTTGAGCATTACTCAGTACTGACAGGCATAAGCATGATTAGCAATCCAGCCAACATCTGTGTTGCAGTCACTGCATCAGTTACCAAAGATTTCCAGATCCAATCCAAGGTGCCAGGATTAATCAAGCCTTACATGGCTTGGCTCCCATGTATTTGCCGGACTGTATCTCCCAACCAGATTCTGCCTATTCTCCGAGGTATCCCAAGAGGTATACTAATAGTCACACCCCATATGTTGTGAACGGGGCCCAGAGATGATCCTTGTTGGTTAGAGTTAGGGTTATGGAACAGTCTGGCTCAGAGTTGAGGCTCCCTGATCTTTCAGCCTCTCCCAAGGCTGTTGAAACCCTGTTATTCCAGAGAGCATTTGGTGGCCGGGCTGCCTTTCCCAGATTTTATTTAAGAATCAGATTTTTAGTTAGTTTTGGATAGTGGTATTGCAATGTTGGTTTGTTTTTAATGTCAGAGTGGGTTAGAGAATTGGGGCCAAACACACTTCTTAAGGAAGAGGGTGCTTAGCCAGGACACTACACAGGAGAAGGCCCTCTCCTGCATACCACATAGACAAGTGTCTGGCCGCAGATCGAAGTGACCTAGCAGGTTCATAGCAGGAGAGGTAGTCCTTCAAATAGTAAGCCCCTAAACTTGGAATTCTAGATCTTTGGTAGTTTGGAGGTGAGTGATCTGTTAGATAAGGGCAGTGATAAAATGCAGAAGATAAAACATATCAGATTACAACATTTTAAGCCTCCTTCTTTGTACAATGAATGTATTTATTGCAGCTATATTCTATTTGGACTACAAACACAGTCTTCTTCCAACTGTATCTTTAAAACATCTCTATGAAGTATGATAGACAAAGAGATGAGCTAAAGATAGAGATAACCCGGTAATGGAGAGAAAAAAAGATTACCCTGAGAGACAAAGAAGTGGCAAAGAGATAACCCAGTAACTTTTGTATGAGTAGGGATTTAAACTAGGATCATTCAGTCCTAGCTGAACATTCTACATACAACCACCCAGGATTTCTAGACATCCCTGTTAAAGACTTGCTTCTGGACAGTTATCTAAATGGAAGAAGAAGAGATTGTTGTTCTGGCTCAGTACTTTGAAACCCTCAACAAGCCACTTCATCCCTGCTTTGCCTTTGGACCTAATTTCAAATAACCGAGTTACAAATCCTCTCACTGAAGAAGTAGGAGCCCTTTCCTCCTTCAGGCCAGTCTACCTACTGGCCAGTAAAGCTGAAAGTAAAATCAGAGACCCTGCTTGTCTTACCTGTTCCTGTTGATCAACAGAGGTAAACGTTGTTGTGGGCATGTTGACGCAGCATGTCTTAGAGGGAGACTGATTTTTGAGTAGCAGCAGACAAACTGGTTTTTCAGGAGGGCTAGTTCTGCCTGCTTGGGAGATTTTCTTTATCCAACAGAAGTTCTTCCTTTTGGCCCAGGGCCAGGCCAAAAGTGCAGTAGACGTGTTTAGCTTTGTTGTAACACCAGAAGTTCCCTATGGTTTGGTTTTAGCTAAAGAGAGTTTCAAGAATAATCAGACAGCTCAAAGATTAATGTCATGGTGACCGAGTTCAAATCAACACATAAAGCACTGCTTTCTCATCTGCGAATGGAACAGTAAGCACAGAGATTTCTATTTCTATTTAATAATTATCACAATGGCAAAAATCTGAGTAGAATGCTTCCATGAAAATAACATGTTGAAATCAATGGTTCACATGATCCTGTAAGTTTATTTGCAATATTTATTTCCTGCTTCTCAGCTCAGCTTGAGTCTTAGAGTGGTTTAATGTAAAAATCAGAATGACCTGAGAGTTATCTTGAGATTTGGCAAGGGGGCGGGGAATTACAATTTAATTCTTATAGAAATACAGCAAGCATAACAGTAAACTTTATGGATAATAAGCCTCATGTTTAAACCAATAAAAATATAATGGCAAAGTCTTTATAAACCAATAAAAATATAATAGCAAAGTGAAACAGAAATATGCATTTCAGGAACAAATTTTGGCTCTTTCCCCCAAATCAAAAATAAGTTATTTACTCTATTTAGACTTGGATGGAATAAGAAAATGTTAGTTCTACTTAGACATCAAATTGTACATTTATAATGTTCAGTTGTTTGGAGTACCTTATAGCAGTCCTTCCCAAACTGTTGCCCTCCTCTTGAGTTAGACTACAACTCCTATAATCTCCAGGCATCAATGGTCATGAGTGTTGTCATCTAAAATGCCTTGAAGACACTAGCTTGATTACTTTTATCTTAGAGTATGGAAATGATTGACTATGCATAGCAATAAAACCACTTGATAAGGCATTCTTACTAGCTCACTGAATTCAGTGAATGGACATGAAGAGGATTGTGTTATACATTTTACTTAAGCCTTTTGAAGAAAATAAGGGTAGAAACCTGATTTTCCCACTTGTGTGCAAAATGTATACAACACAGGGTTACTCATGATACTGAGACTGTAGGCAAAAAGGAAGCATTTCTTCATACAGTTTTATGAAATGGTGATGGACATGGTTAGATAGCCTTGCAAAGGGTTAGACCTGTTCATGGATTACTGGCTGTTAAGTATGATGATCGTGATGACAAAAATTGAAGCTGAGGTTCGATACATTTCAATGTTGGGTGACAAATTGCAAACTAAATAAATAAGTAAATAAATCCACTGTCATTTTGCCAAAATGTCTCTCTCAAAGGAAATAGTTATGAATTCTCCTAGAGAATGTAGAGAGATCAGGGTCTTCCTCAATTGTATTGGATTTTATAGACCTTTAGGGTATCTAAAGAAAGGCCTGCATCATCCTAAACTATTTCATCTTTTAGGAAGGCAGTGAATAAACCTTTTTTTTGGCCCATCAATGGAAAGATATCTCCTCCCCTGTCCTGCAAAAAACTTTTTTGAAGTTTAAGGAGGAAGGATAGGATGGCTACTTTTTCCCTCCTCAGTACTAATTTCCTCTGGAATTTCACCCTCATCCACAGAGTAGCTGAGTTTGGATTAATTAGTTTAATGCTTTTGGACAGCCAAATCTTGTGAAAAGTCTATGCCTAGTAACACCTCTGATTTTTATCCTTACTTCTGAAACTCTCCCCAGTAATGCCACCTTACATTTCATAACCAACACAATTGCAAAACAGCCTTAACTGCAACTGTTTGGCACAGTGTTGAATTTCTAACAGTTGAAGTCCAGGTTGGGTAAGTCAAATTTAGGATCTTCAGACTTGACTTCAGCAGCTTTTTGCTGTGTGCAAAAGGACAGCCAGACAGGAGTAAATGTGTCACATCCTCTGAGCTGGTATCTTATCTTTGAACCTTTACATATGTAGGGAAGTACAGGCCTCTGCAGCAAGAAGAGCAGAAGAAGCCTAAAGGAGATAGTAAACTGTAGAGAAATGTCCATCATAAGCCTTATTATTATTATTTTGATGTATTATTTTTATTCATTCAGATCCCAAGAAAGACATGTGGCACTTCACCCAACATCAAACAAACAAACCAAAAAGGAAGACATGCACAGCCTAAAGGAGCTTACAGCCTACATTCTGACGATAAGGCCAATATCAAGGATGAATTTGAGCTTTATGGGTGAGACCATAACTCAGAAAATCCTTTATTTGTGGGAAGGCCCAGGGTATATTTCAGGTGAAAACACACGTCCCTTGATCTGCTTTCAAAAGCCTACTGTAAAGCAACCTCTTCAAGCTTCTGGCATGAGTAATTTTTTTCAACCTAGCAAGCAAGGAGATAGAACAAAGAAAAATGGATGACAGGGAGAAAGTGGGATGGAAAGACTTTTGTGTCCTCCAACCCCAACTACTGCTAAGAGATTGGAGAAAACTGGTCTTCCCAACCCTGACAGCAGGGTTCTCCAATAGCAAAGTTGCAGAATGCCTGTGTCAGAAATCTTAGATGTTAAGATCAGGGCTCCTGATTTAGTATAAGGTCCTTTTTTTTTTGTCTTCATGAGCCTAACAGACACTTATGTTTTGTGAGGAAATGTTACTTGGTTTGGTGACAACTACCTCAGGTATTCAAGACAAAAAAGTCTGTCATTAGACCTGCACAGCCAGTCAGAGAGGCCTCACCTAGGCTGGTAGAAAAGGGTGGATCATGTTACAGTACTGGAAATTCCATGATTGCAAGCAGGCATGCAGAGGAAAAAAAAGAGGTGGGTGATTCCAAAGCCTGGGAGAGGAAATGACAGAACAGCTCCTTTTTATCAATGTAGGGAGAAAAAAAACAGTCTTAAAGAATCCAGAGCAAAAGGTTCATGCTCAACTATGGGCTTCTCCCGAACAATGAAGTACAATGGCATTTCGTGGCCTCTACTTCTGAAACGCTCGTCTTCAATTCTGGATCAGAAAAAGGAATGCTAGCAGTCCTGATTTAATGAATCCTGGCATTAAAAAGAGGTTTTGTGGCCAAGTCCTGGCTTAGTTTATTCTACAGCAGGCAGGGAGAATACTATCAACAATAATTTAAGAGCTAATACAGTATATTGGTTTTGTCTATTTGTTAGGGGACAGCACAGTATCTATTACAATAATAACCACTTTGGAACAAACTGGTGGTCAAAACATCATAGGTTTAATTCCCACTGTCATTCCCAAACCTGACATTCTTATATTTGCTGCATAAATTAAACAAGGCGGTCTCAAACCTGGCAACTTTAAGGTATGTGAACTTCAACTCCCAGAATTCCCTAGCCAGCATGCTGGCTGGGAAATTCTGGGAGTTGAAGTCCACACATCTTAAAGTTCCTGAGGTTGAAAAACAGTTAAACAATTAAAAGGACAATTGGTATGGTTGACTCACTCCCTTCTCTGTTCTGAACCACTCCCTTTCTTCAGGTTCAGGTTCAGTAAAAGGATCCTTCAATGAAGATCCTTCAGAAGAACAAGCCAGCGTTCTAGCATTCCCATCAGCAATGTATTTCACATTCTGATGTGTTCTACACAGTACGATCAGAGACTTTGCTGTAGTCAATGTGGCAAAGATAAATCTCCTTCTTATAGTCATTCTCTCTCCATTATCTATTTTGGTTAGCTATCCAATGTCATGTCCCTCTGCCTTTTCTGAAACCTGCCTGTTCATTTAGCATTTTTCTCCCCTTTCTCTATGCTTGCTTGTAAGATTTTAAGCAAAGCTTTTCTTGCGTAAGCAATCAGTGCAACTCTCTGGTAATTTGGACATTCTCCTGCATCTCCCTTCTTTCCTAGAGATACCTACATCAGTCTTTTCCAATCTCTAGCCACAGCCTTGTTCCATATTCATAAACATAGGCCTTTAAGTAGTGTTCTCTGTGCTCTGAATTTATTAAAGTTAATCCATCTCCTACAGCAGCCGCAACTCTTTTCAGATTTGCACATAAGCCTGAAAAACAGCCAACTGTTTTGGTGAATAGCTAAGACATGCTGGGGACTATGTAAGGTGTTTTTCTAAATATTCTCAAAGCGGGCACAGCCTTATCTTTAATGCTTTAACTTCGACTTCTCCTGATGCTTAAACAGTGCAAAGGGCATTTCATCTGGTGTTCTCTTATTGAACACCTGATTTGTTGTTGAGTATGTCAGTTTTTAGAGTAATTTCCTGAATCTCTTTATAAATGTTTCAGTCATTTTTTAATGCAGTTTGTAAAAATCCTTTAACTCAGTATCCATTGCCTCATTTAGGCCTCTTCCATGATTACCCTTAAGAATTCCCACTTTAGCTGTGATATTTATTTATTTATTAAAACCTTTGCACTGTATAGCTGCTCATCTTAAACCAAACTCTGGGCAGCTTCCAACCAAGAGTAAAACAACATATACATAATAAAAGCAAGAAACAATAAAACCAATAACCAAAAAACAGAAAAACCTGGCAGATTCCCCTGATGCAACCCACATATTCTGTTCCACTCTAACCTCACTCTATTCCCAACACCTGGGGGAAGAGCGAGTCTTAAGCGCTCTTCTTCTGCTCTTCTTCAAAGAATACATATTTATCCATCTGTTGACATTCTTGACTGAGATACTTTTTTTTTTTATTCTTTCTTTCTTGACTTTGGAAGCCTGTGTTCAATCATTGTCACATTCTTCTAGCTGCCCAAGGGTTTAATCCTTTGTCTTTGCTTGGCTATCACAGTAGATTATTCTGAAAGTGACTTGATTTTTTTTTCTCTTTGAAATTTTGGGATATTTGTTCTCATTCAGTTAATACAATGTCTCTTGGCTCTTCTCATAGGCCTTAAGTTCTTGTTACACAAATTAGACACATGGAATCTGTTACAGTCAGACTATAAGAGCAGTGTATATTCTCCACACCTTATCTTGTTGGCACACCTTTCTCTTTAACGTTCTATGTTTAACTTGAATATTTGAATTCAACATTCAGCAATTCATGGTAGGTTCTACAATCTGAATCTGGAAGCTCTTGGCTGGCTGGATTGCACTTCTCCGTCTTCCATTTCTTGTTTTGTAATCTATTTGATTCCACTGAAGAAATTAGAACTGTTCCTTCAGCACACACAACTCTTAATCAGTACCAAAAATGCATCATTTGTTTTAAAACAAATACATAAAATGTACCAAAATGTCCAACCAATGTTTTTTCTTAATATAACCATCTGACAAAAATACTGTACATGCTAAAGCTTTGTAAGACTATATAGCATCCCATGTTATATCATTTCAACACAATTCTATAGAACATCATGTCTAACTCCTACATGTCCTTGTATGACTTAGAACAGGAAGCAATTTTCAATTAGGTAGATGAATATGGTACAGAGAGAACCCCAGCTTCCTTGGGAATAAGCCTCATCATCAGGAAATGAGTACTTCTAGACTCAGTGCTTAAAAATGTAGACTGTAAGGAGGAAGGCCTTTGGAGGTGGAAGAAAAGGATGGGCCAGCAAGCAACCAAGCAAATACAAAAGGTGGAACTCAACTCCTGGGCTTCTCTATTCAGGCTGCAAGTCTGCCAATCCTTCAAAGAGCCCTGGTCTTGAAACAACTCACTTCTCTGAGTTATTCCTTTAAAAAGAGATAGCAACTGGGAAGCAACCTACTGTCAAGGGAACGAATTGTTTAAACATCCTTGCCTGAGGCTGGCATTACTAAACTTGCCTGCTGGGAAGACAAAGACCAAAGGTCATAAACTTTTACTGCCAAGAAAGATTATCTTTTTAGTTGTACATTATAATTGGATTTCATAATTTAACAGACTGAAGCTTCAAAGCCCTGTTTCTGAAAGCTTAAAAGGGCAGGTGTGAATAAATGTATCTTATCACTTACTTATCTTTGGTGTGTCCAGTGTTTGTCTTGGCAACTACTTGTCTGTTCCCCACCTGTTTAAATGGTTGACTGCCACGCTGAGGCTACCGAATTGTCTTCCCTATGTTGGACAGTTTGGTGTAGTGATTAAGGCATCAGGCTAGAAACTGGGGGACTGTGGGTTCTAGTCCTGCATCAGGCACAAAGCCAGCTGCATGACCTTGGGCCAGTCACTCTCTCTCAGCCCTAGGAAGGAGGCAAGGGCAAGCCACTTCTGAGATCTTGCCAAGAAAACTGCAGGGACTAGTCCAGGCAGTCACCAAGAGTCAACTCCGACTTGAAGGCACACACACACACACACACACACACCACAAAAGTTGGGCAGACCTCAAGGAAATTAAAGTTAACTCTTGGATATAAAAGCAAAATTTGGAATCTGGTTAAAATGCCCCTTTAATATAACATTTTAAGAATTCTTCTTAAGTTTGTAAAAAATGAAATGTGTGGTTATATGAAACAAATACCAAGCCAAGTAGACCAGAACTGGGTCTTCTGCTCTTAGGAAAAGAAACCTACCTGAGTTTCTACTTGGACACTCTGCACCCAAACATTTTAAATGAAACAAATAGCTTCTCTTGTAATAACAGATGAGAAAAGATAAATCTGCTATAACTATAAATGGACCAAAATAACATTGTTAAGTGAGATGAAAATGATTAAGTATATCAACTGAATAAATCTTTAAATTTGGCTAGTAATATAAATACTGGAGAGCCAGTTTGATGTACTGGTTAAGGCATCAGGCTAGAAATTGGAAGACTGTGAGTTCTAGTCCTGCCTTAGGCACAAAGCCAGCTGGGTGACCCTGGGCCAGTCACTCTCTCTCAGCCCTAGGAAGGAGGCAATGGAAACCACTTCTGAAAATGTTGCCAAGAGAACTGAAGGGACTTAACCAATGTAGTCACCTGGAGTCAAGACTGATTTGAAGGCATACATATTAACAAAAAAGGTAAATATATGGAAAGTAAGAAGACAAATACCAGAGGGATCCAGAAAGGAAATCAATTGTATTTCCAAGCAGATTCTTCAGAGACAAAAACTCTTGTGAGGAATGCAACCCAAGGTAAAGTTTCATTATAGGAAATGCAGATTAAAATAAAAAGTTAGTATTTTAATACTGAGAATGCATACTCTTACTACAGTATTTGGGGACGCGGTGGCGCAGCGGCTTATTGACGCTGAAAGTTGCCGGCCAGAAATGGTCGACGCTTCAGCGGTTCAAGTCCAGCCTTCG